AATATTTATGTGGTTTTGGAGTTTTCTATCCAAAGTAGGATAACAGAGGAAATAGGGAGAGAGGATGGAGAGTACTGGGCTATAGGAAGGCAAGTATCTCAATGTAAAAAATTAGAACTGTTTTCATCAGCACAGGCCAAGAGGAACCAAGAGGGAGGGAAATACACAAGCAGGAAGGAGGGGAAAGTATAAAAATGAACAAGGAGAACATGAAAGAGCTCATGAGGACAAAAAGAGTAGTTTGGACTGGATTATTGGAGGGAACCAAAGATTTTAAATGAAAGCAGGAAGAGCATAGGGTGAAATCAGCTTGGACTAGAGCAAAATAATGTGGATCTCAGCAAATGCTTACATGGATAGAATAGGAAAGTAAGGCTGGAGTAGGGTACCACTAGCCAAAGGAGTGTATCAAAACAATCCTATTCAGTTGCCTTTGTTTTTTTATTTTTATTGCCCCTCTGGACACAGATGGCATATGACAGTTTGCAATATAAACATTTAAAAATGTATTTCAGAAATGATGTTTCTTATATACGAGAAACTAAGAAAGGTGATTATCTAGGGCATTGGAAATAACAGAATTTTCAGTGTTTCAATTCATTCTGATTTTTAAACGATGACAATGTTTTGTCTAGTAAAAAAAAAAATTAAGACTTTAAAAGAAAGATATGTCCTAAATGGAATCAGAAAGAATACACCCTTTGTGTGATTAGTGTGTTCAAAATCAAAGATGCTCTTCATCTTTAAAGTTATATTCTTCCCAACACAGAGAGTACACTGATACACAGCCATTGCTTCATTTCAGGTCATATTTACTTAAGGAAAAAAAGAGAGCATCAAAACCCACATTTCTAATTTCACATTTTTCAAAAAAAAATTTTTTAGATTCTCTTGGGGATTCCATCATTAATGTTTTTTTAAATTGAAACCTATTGTTGATGGTTTTAAGACTTTGGGTACGACCCCTTTCCTGGATGTTGAAGATGATGATAATCGAGGTTTTAAGATAAATATAAAAACCTTCATGATACATTTCAACTGTTCTTTTCTCTTTGTTATAAGGTTATATTAATTGAAATATATACATCTAATACACTAAGTATTTATTACTTACTGGGGAGTAGTCAGAGAAACATGAATGAATACAATAATGGAATTCCTTTACATTTACTTTGTTCTCCGCTTTAAACTAGTATTTACTGAAATATTGGTCTGCATATATAGGAGGCACATATACATCAACAGTGATTGCAGTGTGCTGATTGTTATGCAATTTTCACTGATATATCTCCTCTGTCCATACATACTCGCTAAGAACTTACGCAAAATAACCTATTGTGGGTTGTTTCTGGTTAACAGTATCCACTAAAATAGAATGGGCAATATTTACTTTTATGATACTGCATGTATGAAACAAAACTTCATTTTGCAGTAAATTTATTAGGGTCTGATGTTTGCTACGTGCCTCACTTCTTGAGAAACTCACTCTCAGATAGTCATTTTGTGGTAGGATCAGAAATCAGGCATAAAGACAGTAAGAAAGACCCTTTAAGTTTACCAACTGCTTTGAGCTTCTATGAGAACTATAGGAAGAGCATGTGTAGGGCACAGGCAAAATGAGACGCTGAAGATTGTCATGACAACAGATGTACTGTCTTCTCCTGGACAAACAAACATCTGCATCAGAAGCTCTATTGCTCTTATATGTTGGCAGTGTAATGCGCAGAGCTCTGGCAAGGAAGTCGGGATGCTTAGGTTATGGAAGCAGGTACTAAAACTAACATCGGGAGAGAACTGAGCCATAGTTTCTTCACTCATGAAATGAGAATGTTAGAACAGGGATTCTTGAAGGACTCCTGGCTCTAAAATGCTTTAATTCTAGGAAAGAGCATACAAATCAATACTTCCGCAGGTTCAAGGGCGAGATAGGTCAGGGAGTGGTTGCTTCTAGCCTAGAGAACAATGTATGAAGCACACCACTTGGGTCTTGTGTACATTTTTACTCAAGATTTTATATTCTATATAAAAGCCTAAGCGACTGAATGACCAAATGACTGAATGACCAGTTGAACCGGAGCTATGACACACACTGACACCAGGGACAAACGCTCAACGCAGGAGCTACCACCCTGATGGTCAGTGTGCTCCCACAGTGGGAGCATCGCTCAGCTGACCGATGGTCACCAGACACCTGGGCTCATGACTGGAGATAGCAGCTGCAGCGGAAGGAGCCTCTCCCACCTCTGCGGCAGTGCTACCACTACCAAGCTGGAGCTGCTCAGCGCCTGGCCCTGGCTCAGGCTCCTCCCCCCGTCCACCTGCTGCTTCCCGCAATACTACATCCCTCAGGCCAAAACCAGCAGTCCCATATCCCCCCAGGAGTCCCGGATTGGGAGAGGGCACAGGCAGGCTGAGGGACCACACCAGTACATGATATATATTTTTTATTGATTTCAGAGAGGAAGGGGGAGGGAGAGAGAGAGATGGACACATTAACGATGAGAGACAATCATTGATTGGCTGCCTTCTGCAGGCCCCTTACTGGGAAATTGAGACCCCAACGTAGGTTTGTGCCCTTGACTGGAATTGAACCCACACTCGCAAGCCAATGCTCTATCCACTGAACCTAAACAGCTAGGGCTGAAAGCAACAATCTTAAAATAATGATGATTTTCACACACGTTGCTTATCAATCGCTTTGACTTTTTTCATCACCCTCTTGTTCCCTACAGAGAATTCCAAAAATCCACCTTTCCTTGGAATTTCAACCTCCCTGCAACACTCTCTTCCTGTGGAGAGCAATGCAGCAAGTGTCTGCAACTTCTACAGTGTCTCTGCTCCAGCCAACAGTTCACCATGGCTCCTGCCATCAGCCTCTGGCACCTCTTTCCAACCTCTCATGGGTGGTGCCTACTTTTACCAACATTCTAGCACAACCATGTTGTCTGGAGTTCCTGGCCAGAGCCCAATCTCCATTCCAGCTGCTTCCAATCCTAAAGTTTTTGAGTGGGCTCTTACAGGAGACACTGAAAAGAAGTCATCACCACTCAGAAAATTCACTGTGACTGTCATTGACCAGGACACAACTGTCTCCTCTATGTCTCTGGCATCCCAGGGTGATGAAAACTCAGATGCCTATAATATGGCCCCTCAGTATCCATCACTTTCTGTCAACCTTGTTCAGGGGGCACCAATTCAGGGACAGGGCCTGTCACATCCCTACCAGGTGGGAAATCTTGTGTGTGACTACAATCAAGGCACAATGGACCCTCTGCTCTGTGGAGAGGGTGGTCCCTACCTGCAGTCCTATGGCTCTGTGTCTTACACAGAGAGCAGGGCCTCTGCCCCTGACCCAGGGATGGTCATGGTGCTAAAGGAGACTCAGTCCACAAACATGATACCACCAGCCTCCACTTCTGGAATCTGCTACTCTGTGCCTCCTCAACCCATCACAAAGACAGGTTTTCAAGGTGAGTACAAACAGAAACAAGGAAGGGGAATAAGGTCAGCATTCAAAACTGGGGTCAGTCTGCAGCTGGGAAGTGGTGAGTCCTCAGACAGGTAGAATGTAAGTCCTGTGACTTTAACCACTACCACCCTCAGTCAATGCCCTCCATTGTCAGACTCCTTATGAGGACACCTGACAGAGGTGGGAAGGTGGGAAACTAACAGCCATGGATGCTACATGTAGGAGAACTCCAAGAGCATACCAAGGGACACCACACTTTCCACTGTCCTACCTAATGAGTCCTCCTGTACCACAATACTGCAATAAACTCCCTTGATTTATTGTTTTAGTCTCCTTCTAAGGCCTTTCAGGACATTATTGTGATAGTGTCCATTTAACTTTCCATCACTTCCTTAGTGGACACCTGGATTTAGGATCATGTGTTCCAACATCTTGTCCAAAGCAAACAGGCTATTATCTCCCCTTGCTTATAGGCTTCATCAGGAAGAGCTCTATTCCCTGTCTTAGTCCTTGGTGTGAAGTGTTTTTATTCACTCAGGAAAGTAGAGAGAATTACAAGGGTTCCAGATGAGAATGGGAAACATTTTTTAAAAATCACTTTTTTTTTATGTGACCTATAACAACCCTGTGAAATGCAAAGAAAATCCAGGGACTGACCGACTTCCCCTTGATTCCATTGTAGTGATGGAGACTTCCCTGGGGATGGAGACTTCCTTGGCATTGCAACTTCCAGGCCAAATATTTTATTTACCACCTACTCCAGAATTCCCCGAGGCCTGCAGTAACAGACATTCCCAGGTACTTGAGAGTTATCCACCACCTCAGAGTGGGGACATTTCAATGGCACCCATAGTCCAGAATCCCATTGACCTCCTGGCACTGCCTCCAGCTCCAAGCCAGGAACAGAAAGAGAATAAGAATGTGGAGAATATTAAAACCAAGCTTTCCAAGCACGGGAATGGGTACCAGATCCCAACAGAAAACGAAGCTTCTCCACTGCTCCCTTTAGAAGTGCCTGACATTCCACAGGTGCTGGCCTGCATTGGTCCCCTCGGCCAAGAGGAGCAGCCTGGTTGTGACAACTCTGGTTTGGGAAAGAATAGCCTGAGTCTTAAGGACCAAGGGACACTTGAAAATGGGACTGAATCTAATGACAGTTTTGCAGACATCGACACACTGGTGAAGGGTATTCACCTTCCACGGGTCTTAAGTTCCTTGGATGACCTTGATCAGGCCCAAGGACCCAAGGTGATCAAAACCAAAGACACCAGGGGCCTCAAGTTGCACGAAGTGCAGAAAAAGTCAAGTGTCAGAAAGACTCGCTCTGATCAAGGCAGCAAGATCAAACATAAAGCCTCTGAGCCTATCAGTGATGCTCCCAAGACCAAGATCAAGCCCGAGAGCCCAGATTGTGTGTTTGTGGAAGAAGTGGTTCCTTGCAATGCTGCAGCTGGTGGCAGGGCTCCTTCGAACATGGCCAAGCATTCTAACAGCAAACCTCAGAAAGCTGCAGCCAGCAGGACCAGCAATACTAAGAGCCATGGGCAGGAAAACACCAAAAGAAACCAAGAAAATTACTCCAAGAGAGCTGAGGAGAGGAAGCAGTCAGGGAACAGAGTCAAGGCAGAGGAGAAGCCAGCCATTCCCAAGATGAAGAGGAAGAAAAGTCATCCTGAGCTGCCACAAGAGGCCATCAAAAAGCCTCGCAGCGGCCTCGCTGTGCACCTGCTGGAGTCTGTGCAGGTTTTCTATGCGCTGGGCAACAAGAGGGATGAGAAAGCTGACCTGTTTTCCTCGCGGGCCCTGGGAAACTCAAGCAACCCTAAAGGCCCCCAGCCACGCCCAGCTACCAAACCATGGCTGGTTATGCCCCGGTGAGGCAAAGGTCCTGGTGAAACTCAAGTCAACCACAAACCACACGAAGTGCTGACAAGGTCTCACTCATCCAGGACAGCTGCTTCTCCGCAGTCAGTGTGCATGTTTCACATGACAGCTCAGTCGACT